ATATAAAAAGGAAAAAATATATATATATTGGATAAACTAGTTAAAAAACGTTAAAAAAGAAAAGGGTAAAAGTTTTAAAAAAATTTAGCAGAAGAAGAGAAAAAAATTGAAAAAGAAAAAAAATTAAATTAACTGCAAGGCTAAAGAATCATGGGGAGAAAGCCATGAGTTCCGTGCTTTGCTTTCTCCTCCTCTGGATTTCCGCTGCTCTCCTTGGTATTGAAACCACACTCCTCGTAAGTGAACTTGGTCCTGGCTGGGTTTCTTGTTGATCTTCTGGGGGAGGGGCCTGTTGTAGTGATTTTCAAGTGTCTTTGCCCCAGGCGGAGTTGCACCGCCCTTACCAGGGGCCGGGCTGAGTAATCCGCTCGGGTTTGCTTTCGGGAGCTTTTGTTCCCTGAGCGCTTTCCGTAGAATCCGGAGGACGGGAAGGAAGATGGCGGCCTCCCAGTCTCCGGCCCGGAGGAGCTGAGAGCTAGGGGTCCCACTCCTCAGTGCGCCCTCAGGGAACAGCGTCCAATTACTCCCGTCTGCCTGGCCTCCGGCTGCGCTCCAAGCTCACCGAGCCTGCGACCGGTTCAAGGTAAGCCCGAGCTGTGAGCTCACTCCTCGGCTCCGTCTCTGTAGCCGGCTTCCCTGTTCTAATACCTGCGAGCTCTGCGACACTCAGACACCCCGATCCTTCTGTGACCCTGCGGGACCTGAGGCCACACTGGCCCCGCGTGGGCTTCACCCCAGTTAAGCCTCTGGAGCGATGTCCCTCAGCGGAACAGACTTTTAAAAGTCCCGATTTTGTGCTCCGTTGCTCCACCGCTTGCCGGGAGCCGGCCCCTCCCCCCGGGGTCTGTCTTCCCGTCCCTTTGGATTCACTTCTCCGCCAGTCCTACCTTTCAGCAAGTGGTTGATTTTCTGTTTCTAGAATTGCTGTTCTTCTTCTCTTCGATCTCCCGTTGGATTTGTAGGTGTTTGCAATCTTTAGATAAGCTATCTAGCTGATCTCCCGCAACCTGAAGTAGTCTCAGCTGCTACTTCTCCGCCATCTTGACTCCCTACCATCATCATTATTATTCCATATACTGGGTGAATTAGGTAAAGATTCTTTGTTAGTTCTCCTCCCTTTTATATCTATTATGTAAATACGTTTAAAAGAGTTGTGGATGCCATCTTAATAACTTAGTCCCAAGTTTTTAGGAAAATCTTAGAGCAAATAGCTATAAAGACAGAAGAGAATTGAAGTTCTGGCTACTGAAAATACATAATTATCCATGAATTCAAGATGTCAGGGCTTTCAAAATACCCATACCCACCAATTCATAATTTTACATGATAAGATCAGGCTAGAAGAACATTTTTAGCAAAGAACAGTAAATTAGAATTCTCTAGAACACAAATTTCCAAGAAAATCTCATAAAAATGAGAGGTAGAATTTATTATCTTAAAAAAAAACTTAACTATTTCCCTTAAATAGATGCTCTACAGAGTTGAATACAATTTTCTACAGTGATATTACTTTCTTGGGTTTTTAATTTTTTATACATAATTCCTTCTGCAGGTAAATAAAAATACATACCCCAAAGCAGTAAAAATAAAATAAAGCAATAGTAACTGAAAAGCCTACCAAGGGTTTTCATTTTGGCAAACATTTATCTTACCATCTAAGCTTCAGACTCTTGAGATGGCCCTTGGGATAAAATGACAGACTCAGGTTTGATTCCCACTGGTATTTCAAACAATACTGCACAACCTGAGGACCACTTTTTGAGGATAAACAACTGGCTGGGAGCAGGACAGTCCCCAGGCTTTGCCTGGGGCCTATAATCTCACCAAATCATTATTCAGAATCCCCCAGAAAAGCCTCCAGCTAAAACTGTGATTGTTATTTAGGACTAAACTTGCAAATTCAATTTTGAAAATCCTTTCTTCTTTCATGATTTCATTTTTTTGTTTAATTTATGTGTACCTTTAGATATCAACTACAGCAAGCATTAAAACCTAGAGCAATAGTCCATCTGTTTTCAATGTTGCTTTCTCTACCAATTTATAAAAAAAGATATTTTAATAGCAAAAATGCCTAAGGACTACACTGCATAATACATGCACTTAAAAATGCAAAATTCTTACTTAAAGGGGGTATGAAAAGCAGTGATAATGGAGAAGAGTTCTACAAATTTAGAATTTTGTAATACAGTTCTTATAAACCATTTTTTAACTTATAAAACCAAAACAGTTTTTATAAATGCAAAAATGAATTGAGGGATGCAACAGTCTCTGAAAATCAGGGAATAAGCTAGAGTCAAATCATACCACAAATTTCTTTAATTAGATCTTTCACTTTTTTTTTTTTTAACTTAGGTTGTAAAGAATATTTCTTGCTATCTATCCTGCCAAAATGTTCTACTCTTGCTTTATTTCTAGGATCCACCATTGCAACCCTCTCTGTTCTTCCAGTAATTCTGTCTGCTTTAGTTGATAGCAACATATAATTTCTTACTGATTATAACACAAAAGAGTCTCCTCTCTAAAGAGCAGCAATTAAGAGAGTGAGGGCCTTATGTCTCAGATTGCTTGGAAAAAGGGGACAATAATAATTGTTACCCCCCCCGGGCGCCTGGGTGGCTCAGTGGGTTAAGCCGCTGCCTTCGGCTCAGGTCATGATCTCAGGGTCCTGGGATCGAGTCCCGCATCGGGCTCTCTGCTCAGCAGGGAGCCTGCTTCCCCCCAGCCCTTCCTCTCTCTCTGCCTGCCTCTCTGCCTACCTGTGATCTCTCTCTGTCAAATAAATAAATAAATAAATCTTTAAAAAAAAAAAAATAATTGTTACCCCAAAGTATATTGTAAGGATAGGTGAGACAAATGACTTAAAGTATTTAGTAGATTGTCTGGTACATAGTAAGTATTCAAAAAAAATGTTATTGTTAATAATGAAACTTTTTAGAATCTTTACTTTATAAAGGTTTTCTGAGAAAACTAAAAAAAAAAAACATATTTGTGTGACTTTGGACAAACTGAGTTAAACTCTGTTCTTTTGTTTTCTCACTCATAAAATGAAATAATCTGACAATATTAATCTAAAGGTCTTTCTTGACTGTAAAAACATATAATTTTATTTAGCTATAGTTAAGGTTCAGACTTATTTTCCTTCTCTGTTTTTAATGTGTATTGACAGTTTGTTTCTAGTTAAGACTAACTTGTTTTTTTGTATCCTTTTTCTTCGAGTAAGAACCACAAGGGATGATGTTCTGCACTCCTACTGGTCTTAGTATTCATGGGGTATTTCCCCAATTGCTTATGATGAAGTACTACACTCATTATCAACCCCCATAGAAGACCCTAAGAAGGTATAGCTTCCTTTTGAACTGATATCTTAAAAGTGAATCAGACATTAATTATACATAATATGTAAAAATTTGTGTTCTATCTAATCCAAGAATTAAAAAAAAACTTGTTATGTTTCTGGAGTGGCATAGGTAAAGTTTTACTCAAAACTGCTAATCTTGTATGGCAAAAATGAAGCACATAAAATAAAAGTAAAACATCATATCAAAACATTAAAAAATGAAAAAAATATGAAAAAAATAATTGTATCACGTGTGATTTGTAGTGTTAATACTCTTAATACGATTCTTGATTCTTATTAATAAAGAAAATAACATCAAAGACCCCTAAGAAAAATTTGGAATGGGGCATAAGTGAGATAGGCATAAAAGAAATATAAAAGACAAATAAAAAATACAAAGATATACATTTTACTAACAATCAACTAAATGAAAATTAGAATGCCATGTACTTTTCTCACTTCTCATTTCAGATTTATTTAAAAACAAAGATAGTCAATACCAATGACAAAAGTAAAGAGAAAGTGTCACTCTGATACACTATAGGTGGAAATGCAAATTGGGAGAGCCTTTCCATATATTTCCCCTTTGATCTACCAATTCCATTTTTAAGAATATACCATAAGCTAGCATTTTCCAAAGTGTTCAGTGGGATGCTGACGTGTTCTGATGTTACTTTGTGTGTGTGTGTGTAAAAGTCTAAATTTAATTTTAAATGTAAATGTATATAACGGCACTTGAAAACTTTTCCTTTTTTAAGTAAACTTTATTTTTCAGAAAGTTTTAGCCTCCCAGCAAAATGGAGTGGAAAGTACAGCAATTTCCCATATTGCTCCCTGCCCCCATACAAGTACGACTTCTCCAACTAGCAACATCCTGCAGACAGATGCTATTTTAAGAAAGGATTCTATGGTCAAATATGTTTGATTACTAAGACCACTGTATATGACTATACATGGGTATTCTCCAAGATGGAGATTAATTGATGTGGTTCTTTATATTATAGGCCACGGACCCCTTCTATCAGAGAGCATGCTTAGGAACTAAGGCTGTGCAACACTTTTGTAAACTGTCCTAAAAATATCATTAGACACAAGTACAAAGATGTATGGAAAAGAATGTTCACTGAAATCATGCTTAACACACACACACAAAAAACCCCTGGAAAGATCCCATATACTAAATAATTGGAAAATGGTTACATAATTTATGTCATATCCTTAAACTGGAATATTATATAACCACTAATAAGGGAAATGCAGATGATATTTACAGACATGAAAAACAGCAATAAACTGCTAAGTAAAAGAAGCAATCTAGACAAAGACCATTTATAATCTATTGTTCCTAATTCTAATCATAATAATTATATTTATTATGATTATGTATTATGCATTATATACAAATATATCAATAAATTCAGAAAGACAAATAACAAAATATAAAGAGTAATTATCACAGGCTATTGTCTTTTTTTTCCTAATGAAGATCTATTAATTTTATAACAAATTTTTTTAAAGGCTATGTGTTTATATGTCTAAACTGGGGACATCTGGCATCTTATTTTATAGGTATCAGATGCTTTTCATATTTAATAAAAATTAAGTTCACAGTCAAGAAAACTATAATTATAAAGAATTCATAGAGAGAAAACACAATTCCTACCTTCTGGAGAGAAACTGATAAAAACATAACAAGTGCTGTGAGAGCCAGCAGCGTAATGGAGGCAGTAAATCTCTAGATGCTCTATGCCTTTATGAGTCCCTATAAGGGAGTACCTCTTCTCTCTGTAACAGAAATAACATAAACACACACATTTATTTAAAGGAGCAGCTGAAGGAATATCATCCTTAAGTATAGCTTGGAGCTATACAGGCTGCCTGTTTTCAAGTGGGATATCACAGGTAAACAGTGGGAAATATTACCACTTACTTTCTGTATGACCTTGGAAAAGTTACTTATTTTCTCTGCGCCTCAGTCTCCTCATCTGTAAGTGGGGATAATGATATCACCATCTATAGAGATTATATTCATAAAGTACTCATAATAGTGCCAGATACTATTGTTATATATGTGATTTTTATAAAAAATAAAAAGTGGGATTGATTATATTAATAGAGATCCTTCACAGAGCACATTATTATCAGTGATATTTTACTTCTGTTACCATCTCAAAGTAATTCTCACCTCGATCCTGTGAGGCATTATTATTAGTAGTAATACTTGGCCCTCAGCTCTGCATACCAGAAAATTAATTTTATCAGCTTTCTAAACTGATACAAACTTACAAAAAAGCTGATCAATTTAAAATTTTTTGTGTGTGTTTCCAAAATGATATTCACTGGATAAAATACTATGTACTAATATCTGGTCTAATTAAGTACTGAACCACTTAGTCATTACTTGATTAGTATAAAATTAAAGCAAGGAGAATTGAAAACTTGTATCAGACCTTAAGCCATAGTAGTATGATATGCTTTTCTAGTGTGTTACCAATTTCCTCTTACTCTTGATATTACACCTTGAGAAGGCACAGCATCACCAATGAAGTATTCTTTCCAAGAATATTTCATTTGAATCTAATAATAAAAAAATTTTCAGGAAAATCTAAAATAAGGACCACCTTGCGGCCCAGACTTAAAAAAATATATCAATGACATGATACAAAGAGGTTGGCAATTTTTCCATATTAAAGGATATTAAATGGATATGATAATGGAATATAATAAATAATCCATAATTAGATCTTGTATTAGAGAAAAAAAAGACAGTTATAATTACTGGACAATTGGGAAATCTAAAATGCAGACTCCAGAAATCTCTATCCGTGAATAAATTTAAAATTAACTTAGGTGGTTTGTACCTAGAAATAAAATTATTCATTCATGTATTTATATTCATCACAATTTATTAAATACCTATTCATTGTGATAGGCCTGAAGATAACAAAAGTTCCTGGGAGTAACAAACCCTAAAATATGTACATGGCTTAGCCAAAAAAATCAGGTTAAGGGTGTTGAGGACCTTTTTAACTAAGTCTTTGTCAAGCACGTTAACAAAACAGCTAGACCATATCTGTTATATTTGAGACTCAGGCCCTCTTCCTACTGAAGTATTTTCCCTTCTATAAGAAGGGAAAAATTAAGAACATTGGAGCAGGTTGCTAGTGCTTCATCCAGCCTTCAGTAAATTCCTACAAGAAGGAATGACCTATCTGGAAGCAGAGAAGGGGAAAAAAAGACAACTTTGCCAAAAGAGCTACTTTCTGTCTGTGGCTGAGAATCAGATAATCCGAAGCTTGGCAGGTTGATAAAGCCAAATTATGTGTTTTACAATCATCTTTTACTTCTTTTTTATAGGCTATTTTCATGATGTAGAATTTGAAAGAAACGAAGGGGCAGTGAAAATTTCTCTTCCAGTCTTGTCCCCTAGACAAGACTGTTTTCCCTCCTTAGAGGTAACTTCCGCTAACAGATTTCCTGTATTCTTCCAGAAATGTTTAATGCACTGCCATATCTACACTTGTGTGTACAGAAATGGTTATGCACACTGTTCTACACCTTGATTTCTTCATAGCACGTTTTGTCAATGGGTCATTCCAGTACCGTTGCCTTATTTTATATTATTATTATAAAACTATATTGTAAAAACTATAGACAAGACTACAAGGGGACATAAAGATGTTTTCTCATGCAAAGGAAATAAGATAATGGCCACCAGGAAGAAAAGAGCATTGAGGTGTCTGAGTATAGAGTATTGAAGACAATAACTAAGGAATGTATCTGGGAAGATTTGTCTGAAGACATCGTTGGATTCTAAGCATGCCAGTGTAATGTGACAGAGCCCCTGAAAAGTTGCTGAAGCCTTTGCCAATAGAGGGGTGCAAAAGTGGCTAAGACTGAGCTGGCAGACATAAAGGAGACGCCACGGCCCTTACTAGAGTCCATGGCAATAATCATGGCAATAGATCCAGTTTATGAAGTCCAGAGGCCAAACAAGGAATTACGCCTTTGTGGATGCTGGCATATTGGCCAAAATGTCAAGGGTCAAGCAATAACTCAATGGCGACAAGGGAGCAGAGAGAAGAGTACAGAAACCCACACTCATCCATTGATGCCAGGTATATAAGTCTCCCAGGAACCTGGAGAAGAGTAGAAGGGACAGAGAATCCTTTTAAGCTAAGGGGAAGAATCTTGGTTTAAAGCCTAAATCGATTCGATTTTACTTTAGAAGTAACCAAGCAACTACCAGTTGGTAAGATTAATTGTTCCTTTGTCTGTGGAAATAATGGTGGTGGGTGGTACCAGGAAAAGGAGTTTGTGAGAAAAGTCAATTTTAGATATAGGCAAACTATATTTTACACACTTGAGATAAGCAACTATAACATTTAAATCTATATAGCCAGCTTATAGGCCTGTTACAAAAATTCAATGAAATGGTTGTAAAAAATGTACAAATAATAAAGGGTGTGATTTTCTGGTTATGATCTGTGACAGTAACTTTCCTTTAACTTCTTCCGAAGTTCTAGGGACCTTTAATACCATCCCATAATGCCAGATTTTGTATACATATTCACTTCCAAAGAGTATTAGCTTTAGAGTCAATGAATCCTGCTTTGTGGCCCACTGGGCTGTATAAATTTGAGGAAATAGCTTAACTTCTCTGAGTCTTGGAATTTTAGGTATAAAACAGAATGACAGCATAGAAAATATAGTCAATAATATTGTATTAACATTGTATGATGAGTGCTCAGTAATGTACAGAATTGCCAAATCAATACATTGTATACCTGAAACTAAAATAACATTATATGTTAATTATACTTCAATTAAAAAATATATCCCTTCTCAATATTCTCAATATAAACCCATCCAATAACCAATATGTATTTTCAAAAAAATGTGTGATAATAAAAAATTATTTCATACAGGTATGTATCAAGTACAACACATTGTTTGGCCAATGGTTGGTGGACCTACTATTTTCTCTAAAGCACAGAGAAAACATAAAAAACATAAAACACAGTTTTATGTTGCCCAGTTTTTGATTTGAAAAGTTTGACCATGTTGTATGTCCTTACCATACAAGACTGAGCTCTATAAAGTAAGGCTCCTTGTTATTGTTTTCAGGCTGATGGAGTAATAAACATCCCCATATACCATTAAGGAAGCATGTCTCTGTCATAATAAAAGCATTCAAATATAAAATATAAACATAAATAGCAATCTTCTTAAATCTTACCCTGAGACTGAGCATAGGAATTAGTTATAATTATCTCCCATTTCCTCTAAATAGAAATTGTCTTTTTAAAAAAAAGGTACTTACCTCAAATCTAACAACCATTAAAAAGAAATTACTCAGTGGATAATAAAATCCACAATCAATAATGATTGCTGATTAAAAAGGTAGATTAGACATACACATTTAACTACATTCATTTTCAAACCATACTAAAATACAGTATTAAAATTTTTGTTAAAAAGCATAAATGAAGGAAGAAAAAGAGAGTGAGCAGTGAATGAATTAATGATGGTAACCAAAATTTGGAAGCTAGAAGACAGAAGTATGATAGCTAACTGATAGCAGATTCAAACAAGCTGAATCCTAAGCCAGCAGTAGGTAAAGCTGGGAAGCAATTTTACTTGCAGTAGTTTCCAAAATACTTGGGAATTGGTGACACCTAAATTTCTAGAAGCAGGTTAAGTAACAGTAAGCCTGGTTAGAAACCAATGTAAGAATCAATCTCTTGCATTCATTTTCTACCATTCACAGCTAGAAAAGTCCTCCTCCCTCTCTTATCTTGGCATAAGACTAAATGTTTATTCTTTGGAGTGTGTAAAACAGAAGATTCCCCAACTAGCAAATTTTGAAGAATTCTGGAGGGAAGATTATTCTACTGAAAATAGAACTGAATGAAGTTTTATATGACAAATATTAAGACTCCCAAGTCCTCTACTACTGGGTTTGCAGAATGCTAGTAGCCCGTCATAAACTTCTAAGCAGGAGAGTAGAAGATTCTTCTTTGGTGACTATTACTGGAATCAAAACAAAACAAAACAAAACAAAACAAAACAAAACAGGTGTTCAATGAAATGATACTGGGGGCTCCTGAACAAAATAGCATGTTCAGGTCTAGGGAATTCACAGCCATTAAGCTCCAGTTATGTGTTATCCTGGCATTCCCCCTTTCTCACTATCTGAAATCTGAACTGACAGCCAATGACCACTAGACATCTGGGGAAAGCCCCTAAAAGGAAAGATGGAACCTGAAACAAACAAATGAACAAACAAAATAAGCAAACAAACAGAAAATAGAACTGTTCAGGAAAAGAGAATTTCAAAAAAATTACTTTTTTAAAAAATATTTTATTTATTCATTCATTTGAGAGAGAGAGAGACAGAGAGAGCACAAGCGAGGGGAGAAGCAGGCTCCCTGCTAACATGGGACCCCGATGTGGGGTTTGATCCCAGGACCTGGAGATCATGACCTGAGCTGAAGGCAGATGCTTAAGCCTTTCAAAAAATTATCTTTAAAGAGATAAGAGAAGAACTGCATCCATGAAACAAAAACAGATTGTTTAAAAAAAGAAAGAAAGAAAAAACACTCAGGAGACAAGAAAAGTGCCGCTGGGAAACAAAATTATGATAGAAATGGAAGGTTGGAGGATCTCCCAGCAAATGGAGAGATTGACGGAAAGAATATAGGAGAGAGGGGCGCCTGGGTGGCTCAGTGGGTTGAAGCCTCTGCCTTTGGCTCAGGTCATGATCCCAGGGTCCTGGGATAGAG